TTATCTTTAGTAGAAGATAATTTCTCCTTCTAAATATTAAATTATAAAAATTTTAAAGTCTCCCCTTTTGACTTTTCTCACAATATATAGATGCTAATGAGAGGCGACCACTTGGATTAGTCTTGCGGGCAGGCTGGGCTGGGCGGAGGTGGGGCGTAGTAGCAAGTTGGCTGGTTGGGGCGAGGCTGCTCAAGTTGACTTTGGCGGGCCACTGTCTTAAAGACATTTTTCATTTTTTTTAATTTTATGGCACAAAAATAATCTGCCGAAAATATTTTCCTGATGAATTTTCAATCAGAAATCCCCTAGAAAAATTTCCGGCACATTTTTAACATCAAGACTTCTCCCACGCATGTTTACAGTTTGAAAAAATTTCGTCATAAATCCACTAGAAATACTAATTTTCGACGAATATTGATCCTTTTTTACAATTGAAATGATCACCGGAAAATATCATTTTTCTTGTAATGTTCATGTTATTGTTTTTTTCATGAGATTAATAATAATATTAATTATTATTATTATTATTATTATTATTATCTAATAATTGAGTCAATTAAACGACCCACCATTATTATTATCTTTAGTAGAAGATAATTTCTCCTTCTAAATATTAAATTATCCAAATTTTAAAGCCTCCCCTTATGACTTTTCTCACAATATATAGATGCTCATAAGAGGCGACCACTTGCGTTAGTCTCCTACCAGTTGACCGACTTATTCTCTCTTAAATTTTATGTCCACATTTTACAGCAAATCTGGGCACCAATGCCCTTACCAATTCCAGTGTAGATAGAGCCAACAATATTACAGAAATAACTTTCATTTATGAAAATAAAATTACAAGAAATATTCAATATCTTTCAATATTCTATTTTTAATATGAAAATTTATTCAGGTCAACAGCCATGAATGAATAGCAAAAGAATAATAAGAAAGAATCGACGTTCACAGTAATTTTCTGCTGGGTTCTGATGAACTCCTTGCGTCGTGTGGTTAGAGCAACAAAGATCCATAGAACGCCAAAATAATTGCCCAAACGATCACAGCAAGCGTGGTACAGCTGCTAAGGCCATTCTTCCAAGAATTATCTGCAGCAGCGTTTTCAAAAGCTGATCAAACTTGAATAAAAATAACTTTTCATGATGGAGAGGAGAGAAATGCAGACACATAACAGAGGAAAATAAATAATAAAATGAACAGCATAGGGAATGTAAATCTACTTATTTCAAGTATATTAAGCCTAAATAGAGTAAAAAATGATGAAGATTCATATACCAAAGCAATAGAATGTATGTTTTTAAGTTATGATAGTTGTAATTTGTTAATGATACCTAAATATTTATTACATTCAGGCATCGTTTCGAACGGTTTCTTAATGTTTCTTAAAGCAGCTTTCTAGTACAAATTTTTTAATTTTTTACTTAAAAATTGATTTAAGAAATCATAAAAAAGTAGTCCCAAATGAAGGCTTTTCTTTTTTCCTGCTTCTAAAAACAGCTTTTAAGTATAAAAATTAAATTTTTTATACTAAAAAGCTAATTTAAAAAGCAGTAAAAAAGTCATCCCAAACGAAGCCGAAGTCTCAGAGTGAAGATAAAAATGACACCATAAATAGATGATATATCAAATATCTTGCGTGAATATTTCTGATGAAAGCTCAACAAGGTAAGTGCAATGAATATGGATAAAAATATAAGGAAATGGAAAAAAAAATGCACACATACTAAGCACAAGGTATTTGTTCCTAATGCTCCACTCGAAGTCCCAATGTTTTTCTTCACTTCTGAGTGTCCAATATGACCAACCAAAAGAAGCAGTGTCATAAACTTCTAACTGAGTGCTTCCAAATATTTGATACTCCCTTCGAGAAGCATTTGTCACATTCCACTCATTCACCCACTCACCTGAACAACACACAATCTCCATTTTTCTTTTTGTTTTCATTGTGAGGATGTAGAAAATTTCTCAAATTTAGGCTTCGTTTGGGACGGCTTTATTACTACTTCTTAAGACAACTTTTTAGTATAAAAAATTTAATTTTTTACTAGAAAGCTACTTCAAGAAGCAGTAAAAAAGCCATCCCAAACGAAGCTTTAATGTAGAATTAGCAAAAGCGCAAGTAAATGATTGGTTAGTAAAAATGACTAATACAAGTAGGAATGTAAAATATAGCTTGGGTTTCAAATGTTAAATATGGAAAACCATAATAAAACACCATACCGATAAAGACGAGAGGTCCATTTGCGTTGTTTAGTGCCTGCAACTGTGGCACCCTGCTGTCGTAAATGAATTGCATATTTTGTAATGGATTTAGATCAACAAAATAAGCATCAAATAGGTTATAGTAGTGTACATCTACCACAACATTTGTATCCCCAATGTTGGCTTCATATAGCTCCATGGGGTCTGCATTGCCTATCCTCTGACAAACTACAACATATGCTGTAGAAGAATAGTTCCGAACAATTTGGTACCCACTTTTGTAATATGATACAAGAATATCTATTGGAACTGCAGCTGCAGAAGGTTCATTCAATAGCTCAATACCCAAAAGAGCTGGATTATCTGCATACCTTCAAATTGAAGAAATGTTAAAGAGTTTTGATCAATGCTTTTGTTCCAGGTAACTGGAATCGACCAGTCTGATGAAGACAATTCAAAATAATCATGTTCATAAACTGTTCTGCTGAAAACAAATATGACATTGATGGTAGAAAAGCAGGACAGTAGAAAAAAACTGTTGATTGATTCTGTATAAAATGTGAAAGTATATTTAGACTTCTCCAAAAAAAACTTAATGGAAAAAAAATAAAAGTTATTTATCAAAAAAAAAAAATCTTCAAGAGGGACTGCTGGCTAAAATAGAAAGAGGCAAATCAAATATAATTTAAGAGCCCTAAGAGAATCAATCTGATAGTTAAAATATTTAATCTGTGTGCTCAAGAATCCTCATCAAAATTGATTGACTTGTGGGTTCTATGATCTTTTAATAGTACCCTTCAAACTGAATGGTATAAATCTACCATTCAAAGTTTGCTTACAACATGTTTGAACATAGGATTGCATAGTTCTTTGGCAAGAAGTTATGCTACTTGATTTCCACTTTCCAATTTCTCTTTTGTGAAATATTTACCCACCTTTACATGCTTGCTACAATCATATTAAACTGGGTAAATGCTTATGGTAGATATATTGTCACAGTATATCTTTATCGGCCATTCCAATTTGATTTTTAAATATTTCAAAATGATTTTGATACTTAAGCTCGAGATTCCTTGAGCAATAACTCTAGATTTAAATTGAACGCTAGATCTTCAAACAAAATGTTATTTCGTTCTCCATCATATTATTAGATTTTCTCCTAAAAATATTAATATCAAGTTATGAATATTCTATCAATTAGTGATCCTACATAGTCTGCATTAATATATCCTTTAATTTGTAAAGTATCCTAAGGATTCATCTACAAGGACTTGAATTAAGATGTCAAAGGATTCTATAAGTAGCTTAAAGGTGGGATTATTTAGATTTGAATATGAATTAATTGATAAGACTCGCTATAAATGCAATGTTTTAACTTGTGTGAGATAGATAAATTACTTTTTGATTAATCTTTGATCTTATCCCATGCCTACTTCTTTTCCTTCTTTATTTGCGTCAAATTTTTTATCTTAGTTCAGTTGGAATTTCACAAGATTTGCAATCAGTCATTTTGATTTCCTTTAGTAGATCCATGATCTTTTTTTTAGAACGTTTATCCCTTAGAAGTATTTTAATTTGCCCAACTCTTTGATCTCAGCTTCTTAAAGAAGCATTTTCTTGAGAGACTTCTCTCAATTATCAACTATATCATCAACTTATACAATAAAAATTTAAATTTTATCATCAACATAGTGTTTTATGAAGAGGGTATAATTTCCTTAGTTTTATTTGTATCTAGCTTTATTCATGACTTTTTTAAAAATCTACCAAATCATAATCTTAGAGATTATTTAAGGCCATCTGAGTATTTTCTTTAATTTGCACAATTTGTTATTTGTGAAAGACCTACCAAATCTAAGTCATGAATCCATATACGCTTCTTTACCATTCCCATTTAGAAAAGCATTATTTATATCATACTATTATACCATTTATGATTGGCTACACGAGAGATTAATATGCATAATATATCATTTTCACAATAGGAACATAAATTTTTAAGTAGTCAATTCCATAATATTGAAAATATTTTTTGGCTTCCATTCTTATTTTATATTGTTTTAGGTTTTCATCTTCTATATATTTAATAGAAAAAATATATTTGCATTATATCATTTTCTTTTCTTTTAGTATTTCAACAATCTCCCAAGTGAAATTTTTTTCAAATAATTTATTTCTTCTCTCATAACATAATTTCAATTCATATTTTTAAGAGCTACAATATAAAATAAGTCATGAATAAGTCTACTAAAGCATCAGCAAAAGTGAAATAAAGATAAAAATTGTAAGAATGTTAAAATTTTCTCTGATGTTATTTGTTTTAGGTGTAGGAAACCCGGACATATGAAAAATCAGTACCCTAATATAAAAACTCTTCATGCAAAGGAAAAGGGTAAAAATAAGCCAATCGTAATAAGGGTAAATGATAAAAAACAAAAGATCTCCTGGACAGACCTAGCTTATGAGTCATTAGGACCCTAGTGGCCTAGCCTATTAGAGACGTGCTTTGACACAGTTTTTGAACCAAGCACTAACTTATTAAGGATAGATTCATACTTTTTTTCTTCCTTTTCAACAAGTAGTCATGATATCCATGAGAGTGTTAAGTACACAAACTAGGCCGCATGACCAAGATATAATTTTTAGAAAGACAAGCATTGTGCTCATGAAGCATGAAAACAGATTTTGGAATTTTGGTGGGTGGATTTGGTAACAGAGTTTCAAGTACACAAATGAGCCAACATGGCATGAAAACAGGTTTTTGAGAGGTTACTATATTTCTTATTCGGCGAAGTAAACTTTACTAACACAATATTCGGGTATTACCTATAGAATACAGCAATATCTTATGCAGGAATCAGGATTTTAGCACATTTTGTACTTCAACAACCTAATGACTCAAATGTTGAAGCAAAATTTACAAACGGTTTTATTATTGGTTTTAGTTTCTAATGGTGGTGCAAGTTCATTCCAAATCATAATTTTGAAAGAGGTATGCAACGATAAATTGGAATATATATTACCATTAAGAGATACCTTGAAGATAAAAATTCAATAACATCCAGACTCTGTGTGATGTACTCTGTCGATGGCCAGTTAACAGAACCATCTCTGCTAGCACTATGTTCCATTCCATTTTGGGAACCAGGTGCAGCATGGAGATCAATGATGCACCTGATGTTATAGACCCTACAAAACAAGAGCTCAGTATAGTAGAAAGATGGAAAAATGGACGTGACCAAGGAGTATAAACTAGATGAGTGCGAAACTGAACCTACTCTGCCCAGGAGAATGCTCTGTCCAGAGCTGCCAATGTTCCTCCAATAAATGGAGCTGGAGGATCTGGGTCCTGTACAATCCACCATCCAACAGGAATCCTGACGGTGTTTATACCATGCTCGGATAGGAAAGAAAAATCTTCTGCAGTGACAAAAGTGTGCCTGTGGTTCTGTAGATCAAATGAAGATGGGTGGGATTGTTCTGAGAAAAACATGAAGCCAGATAATCTATGAACATGTGGCAAACATTATGTGGTAATACTCAATAGAATGTTTAGATGCGTGAGATTTATTTTTACTCTTCTATGTGATCAATGAATTATCAAGAAATATACACTAACCTATCATTAACTATCAAGTAGTAGAGCACATTGTCCAATACTCATTATTATATACCACAAGATGAAGAGAAGAACCAAGTGGAAAGAACAAACCATGGCTCAGCGTCCATATAACATATCAAATGATTCAACGACCGACAACCAATTGTAAGTGACGAGATTTTTGAATAAATTGACTTATTTGTTGAACTACTAAGAAAATATAAGATCGAAGAATTATCAAATAGTTTAAGTTTTTATTAATTGTCTAAATATAGTGGATAAGGAAGAAGATCGTCTTCCTTACAATAATATTTTTTTGTTTACTTTTAATGGAGTATCCGCAAAGGAAGAATTATAGAGGCCAACCAAAGTAATCCGATTTTGTGCATACTTATGTTGGTTCAGGAAAGTGCTTGAGAAATTGGAGCGAATCTCCAAACCTCAAATATAAGAGCACCAAAATATTTCATTTTGAATATTCCCTAAAGATATAGTAGATGACTAATTAGAGAAAAAAATTTCCAGTAATAATGATGTCATCAACATGAACCAAAGAATGAGCAATCCAATTAGATGTATTATAGAGAAATAATGATAAATCATATTGGCTCTATTTAAAAGATAAATAATGTAAGGTTGAGTAAAATTTATCAAACCATGCATAGGGCACCTGTTTCAATCCTCAAACTTCTATAGGAGAAGAGGCAAAACACAAAGTAGAAAAGGCATGTAAATTTCCTCCTTAAGATTACCACCAAGAGAGGCATTATTAACATCCATTTGTTGAAGTGACCATTTTTATAAAGCAACAATTGAGATAATCATTCTTATTTTAGTTTTTTTCACAATAGATGTAAATTTTTTCGCAAAACACAAAGCAAAAGAGCCATGTAAATTTTCTGCTTGAGATCACGACAAATAGAGGCATTTTATTAACATCCATTTGGTACAGCGGCGATTTTTATGAAGCAACCATGAGGCAATCATTCTTATTTTAGTTATTTTCACTTTAGAAGTAAAATTTTCTTCATAGTTAATCTCATATTCTTTAATGTTACTAATGACAACTAAAAGTAACATGTAGCAATCCAAGGTAAGATCAGAATAAAATTTGATTAAGTAAACCCATTTGCAACTAATGACTTTAATATTTGGAGATAAGTGAACAATCTCTCATGAATGATTATCCTCAAGAGCTTGAAGTTCTTCAGCTATGGCCTCTTTCCAACAATCATGTTTGCTAGCCTCTAAATAGTATGGGGGAATGGAAATTGAGGCCAATGTAGTTTGAAAGTCATACCAATTTGTAGTATGAAGGATTTTGGAACATTGTGTTGGACTAGTGATTGAATTCCACCTTGCAAGGAGGATGGCGAATTTGGTTAAGCAAATGGTGAAGCTATGGCCTCTTTCATATACAAATCAAAATTTGAATCTTTATAGCTATAATTTAATTCATCAAAATTATGAAAAATATAGATCTCTAGCAAAGGCTCAATATAAGTTGACAAGAAAAATTGATGTTCAAAAAATACAACATGATGAGAGAAAGCTTTTGAAGCTTGGATCATAACAAACATCGCCTTTGTGAGAAGTTTTATAGCCCAAAAAAATATACATATAATAGATTGAGCTGAGAGCTTATGACATTGTTGACCTTTGTATAAAGAAATGAAAAGAACAAAAAAAAAATCAGCTAACCTGTAGACCGTCGGATCCACGAAGTCGTGCCGAAATCCCGCTGCAAACGGCACCGCTCCAGTCGATTTCCCGCGATTCTTGCTCAAACTCCGCTCGAGGAGGTTCTCTCGCGTCTTTAAAAGCCGACCGAACTCCTCCCACGATGCTTGCTCTGCTTCTCCTCTGATACGAACTCCACAGGCTTGAACGTCTCTCTCCCGAACTTCTCCTTCCCACTCGACCGAAAGTCTCCACCTCCCAGACCTCTCTTCCTCCCACGACACTCCCCACGCACAGAGCATCTCTCCCTCCTCCAAATCCCGTCGCTGCCTCCCGTTCCCTTCCGATCAGAGAGAGAGAGAGAGAGAGGAAACAGGGAACCGAGCTCTTACCTTGCTATGCCGAACTCCAAGCCCAAGCCCGACCTCTCTTTCCCGATTCCTCAAGCCAACGCCGACCTCCCCTCTGTCCGACCTCAAGCTCCACCTCATCTCCTTAACCTTCGGCCATAGCTCCTGCGATCGAGCCTCCAACTCCAATAGCCGAACCTCCTTCCTCCTCCAGCCGAACTCCACCTCTTGCCCGAACCCTATAGCCGACCTCCTTAGAAAATTAGGCAGTTTATAATAATAATAATAATTTATTA